CATGCATGCATGCATGTTCAAGACACATGCACAGGTATACATCATAGGTGCATGCATAGAAAGCTACGTAGACGCACATATACAGGCACATTACTCCTGTGCACATTCATCCATCCATCTCTCCCTCCGTCGTCCATCCATGCACCCATGCACCGAGTCCATCCGTGCATGCATCCATCCATCCATCCATCCACCCACGCACCCAGCCAGGCTGGCATCCATCCAACCCTGGTGAATCCATCCGTCGTCCATCCATTCATCCATCCATGGATTTATCCATCCATCCATCCATCCATCCATCCATCCATCCATCCATCCATCCATCCATCCATCCATCCATGTGTCCACACCTCATATGCATATACATGCACACATAGATACACATATAGGTGCATGCGAAGATAGGTATGTATGTACATGAATGCACCCATGCATGCATACATACATCCAGGCATATCAACATACATATACATATATGCATACATAGATACGCACATGGATGCATACCACAAGTGGTACATACATACATACTTGCTTACATGCTTACATGCTTACTTACTTGCTTGCTTACTTACTTACTTACTTACTTACTTACTTACTTACTTACTTACTTACTTACTTACTTACTTACTTACTTACTTACACACTTACACACACATACACACATACACACATACACACATACACACATACAGGCATACATATATGCATACATGCATACATGCATGCCTGCATACCTGCATACATGCATACAGCATACATGCATACATGTTCGGATTCTTGCATGCATCCGTCCTTTCGTCCGTCAGTGCTTGCTGTTTCGCATGAGTCCACACATGCATGCAAGATGAATGCCACGTTCATGCATGCATGCCATACATCCGTCGGTCTTTTCATCCGTCCATCCGTCCAGCCATCCATCCAGCCATCCATCCGTCCGTCCATCCTTCAATCCTTCCATCCTTCCATCTTTCCATCCATCCTTCCATCCATCCATCCATCCATCCATCCATCCATCCATCCATCCATCCATCCATCCATCCATCCATCCATGCATCCGTCTTTCCTTGCATCCACAGGCCCATCGGTTCATGATTTTGAAGCTCATGTCAGTGATGTTCACGTCGTGTGTTCGATGCGTTTGTTGGTCTTTGCATTCCCGAAAGTCTTGTTTTGGACTCCCGCGCCTCAGTCCCCGACCCCAAGCCCAAAAGCGTGTGCGTGCCCACAAGCGCTGCGCCCGGACTTGCGACCGTGAAAAGGTCCGGAAGGCTTTGCGATTCTGCAGCGTCTGCAGCTGGCCTTGCCAGGCACACATGGATGGAAATGTCACTACGGCAGCTTACGTCAGTGACTTAGCGATCCCCGGCAGGCCTTTGTTGATTTCTCGACTGGATAGCTGGGTCCGAGGACCAGTTCAAACTGGAGATGGCGGGCAAGTCTTGCATGGTGCGTCCCCGAGCTGGCCCTGATTTGTGGCACTTCGCGGTTTATGACCAGAGCGGAGGTCCTCAAAACTGTCAGGTCCACGGCTTCGCACCGTTGCTCTGCAATCTGTGCAAGTCCATCGCCATTGAGGAAGATGAGGACCAAACGTATCCGGCTCTATGGTTCTGTGCTAATAGCGGTTACTTGCGATCTGAGTTGCAGGACGACGAGGAGGGCGAGGCAGATCACAAGCCGCAGTGGAAGAAGGCCTTCATGTCTTCTTGTGATGGTAGATCCGCTGCTGGTGCGGGTATAGTTGCACAGCGGGCTGAGCCTCAACGCACCCGTGGCTTTGAGATTGGCTCATCTTTACACCCGCCGCTTTTGTGCTTGACAGCTTCACTGTGCCGACCTGGATGGATTTGGGGGTGTAGTGCCTCGCCGCTTCATATAGTGTCGGCGATTTCTCACGCTGCCATTTCTCTAGACTACCTCGCGGATCTGCGTCTGTGGGAGTAGCGAGGCCGCTAGACCCAGTTTTAATGAGAAGCTGCCACGGCCAACTTCGGTGCTGAGGTGCTCCTGCCTCAACTTCATGGATGGAGATGGCAGTGGTGATTTTAATGCCCATACCAACGCAAACGACTTCTTGATGGTCATGGTGCACTACAGCTGGATCACTGTTTTGATCATCACACTGCTAGGGATTGTCTCCTACATGTCACATCGAAAAAAGCAGAAAGGTTACGTGCCACTTGGTTTCGCAACATGTGCTGCGCTGGTTGTTGAGGGCATGGCTCGAAAGGTTGCATTGTTTCATGGCCAGGGAGAGGCGACTTTGGTCTTTGACGGGTGGTTTTTCTCACCTTAGAAAGAGCAGATGCTGTCTGACTGGCTAGATTCCCAAGCATGATTTTTTTCTGACTCGACTGTCGCCAGTCGAGGCATAAGTTCGGTACTCAACAAACGGTTCGTTACACGCCTGGACTGCTGGCCCACGGCGGCTACCCCTTCATTGTTCGAGGGATCCTCGGCACGACCTTCTTCATGTCTGCTCCTGAGAGCTGATCCTGGGAGGGCTCTTGTTCGCTGAGTGAAGCCCTCGTCTGAAGCTGGCAAAAAGGCTGGGGGTGCTGCCCCTGATTCTCATCGTTTGCGCAACATTGCTGGGCCTGATCCTAGCTGCTGTGGAGGAATGGGAAGCGGGCATTGGGAGCCCTGGCTGCCTCGAAGAGGATGTTCAGCATTTGCCTTTTTTTTGTGAGTTTTCATGGGCCCAGGGTTGAGTATCTTCTGTCCAATATCCTCGGCATGACCGCGCCCCTCACGAGCGTTGTGCCAGAGGGTTCTTTCGGTGTCCACTTCGCGATTATCATGAACATGCCGCTCGCCGACCATCTCAACTGCTTGCTATAGTGGAGCAATGGGCTGGTTTGCTGTTCAGGGGTGTGCAGCACAGCTTTGGGACTGCCCAGGTATGCTGTCGTCATGATCACGACTGCCATGGGTCTGGTGGCGAACATGTCGCTCATGCAAGCCATCACAGAGAAGGTTCCACAGGGCGCGTGTGGCTTCGTCTCCTTCTTGCTGGTGGTTGCCAGGGCCTTAGTTGACATCTGCACATAGAACCCTACCCCCTAACTTTGAAGCCTAAGCTGCAAACACCTAGGACCTACCCCGCTAAAGCGACCCTATTTTTGAAATATTTTCCGCGGATTTCGTCAGGAAGCGGAGTGAAACTTTAAGGTTTGCCTGCTTGCACTTTCTGATATAGTACAGCTGACAAGGTGCCCCTCGTCATGTTTCTCACCACATGGCTCATCGGCTGCACCATTGCACTTGTCGAAGGCTGGCCGGCCATGGAAGGCTGCCTGGGCAAGTGTTGGCATTGTTTTCCCGAGTTTCAAAAGGCCTTTCTGAACGGAGATGCACTTTTTGCGGCCCTCGGTTCCTGGTGTTTTCATTCAGAGCTTTGCTCACGCTCGATGTTGGGCCGTGGCACCTGGAAGCCGAAGCATGCCTTTCTTAGGCAGTGCCGAGAGTCTTGAGGCAGGTTTGTAGACGACACAACCATCCCGACCTTGGAAGCCCACGGTCAGGCGTCTTCTAGCGGATTCTAGCGCAGGCAACTTTAATATGGTTTTTCCTGGACGAGGAGTCCCACCAGAAGCCCGTTGAGGTCTGGTCTATTTTCCACGCCATACTCAACGAGCATACCATGCTGTTACATGCTATAACATGCTATAGTCTACTACTGATACACTATAGCATACTATCCCAGCTAAGGCTACTATTTCATGGCAGCCTCTATGGCAAGCTTGGCCAACCCGGTGACAAGCGTGGAGCCTGAAACGGCCGCCTGTCCGTACTCCTTTCAGGTCTGCGGGGACTTGAGCTAGGAATTTCTTCGTTGCGCTACAAGGTGCTGATGCGGAAAGAGCGCTTGACTAATTATAAACCCTACGTAGCCTATAGTTATTCGCTTCTATCTGTCGCAAGCGATCTTTGTCTGCGTTTAGCCGGCCTCCTTGTGAATGGGTGGTCTACAATGAACAGATTTCCCTCCACCCAAAGCTTTGCGACGGGAATAAGGTTACAAACCGATCCGCGGAGCCCTGGAAACAGATTCTACTTAGAGGCCCAGGGGACTTAGTAAGTAGGTTATAAGCACCCTAATTGGAGTTACCCCAACTATAACCCTACTTATAACCGACTTACTAAGTCCCCTGGGCCTCCAAGTACAGTCTTAAAGCAAAGGTCGGAGCACCCGCAACATGTTGGGTCTTCAGTGGGAGCAAGTTGAGCTACGCAAAAATAGAGCCATACTCGTCAAGTGCTGCGAATATCTGGCTTTCCGGCTTTGGCCTCGGTGGGGTTGTGGGGTTGACAAGAATCATGCGATTTTGAGCCTCACGACCCTGTTGAACTAAGCGGCAACTAGAACACAGTGTAACTCATGACGGTTATAGTGCAACCCCCCGGTATGTTGCAGCTTGAATCTTGCGAACTGAAGCCTTCGGCCCCTGGGCTGCAGAATCCCTGACTCGTATCAGGGTATAAGGCTGCATGGTTCCGGAGCTTCGGCAGCCAAGCCCCGAAACCTAAAACTCTGCACCGTTTGGGTCATGACTCAGGCGTTTGGCGCTTTTTTCGAGTGCTTGTGCCTGTCCATCGAGCTGTGCACCCTGGTCAAGCTAAGCGGAAGAGGGGCTTCGGTTTAGCATGGTTTAGTAAGCGCAGCTGGGAAGGGCGGCGCCTTTTTTCTTTTGGGTGTCGGGTTGGGGCCGAAAAAAAACTGAGGTCTGGGCGGATGCATCCTGGGCCTCGTCGCTTCTCACCCGGTCACGACGCGGCTCTGTGATTGGCTCGAGGGCACCTCCAGGGCTTCGCACACCGACTCCCAGCTGGACTTGGCGGGTTACACCGTCCCGGAGCTCAAGGCGAAGCTGGAGGATGTTAGCAACAAGCTCGGGAAGGCAGATGAAACTTGCCTCCTGCAGAAAAAGGTTGCCCAGCTGATGGGGCGCCTGGAGGAAGGGAATGCCTCGGAGCACATCAATCAGCTTACAGGGGAGGTCTTCAAGCTGGAGGAGCGAGTCCAGGCGGCTCGCTCCGTGCCCAAGGACCCAGAAACGGAGCTGAGGGAGCTCAGGGCACGTGTTGCGAAGCTTGAGGAGCTGGTCAAAAATCCGGGAGATGTCGTTGTTCATGAGGTTGTGCAAGAGGCTCTGGCGTAGCAGTAGCAGTGAGTACTTCTGAAGGGCGTAGTGGGACCGGGGGTTTGCCCTGCTTTCTTTGCCGGCTTGGCCTTCGAGGGAAAGCCTGGGCGTCGAACCATGACTAGCAGTAGAAGCTATACAGAGACCATGAGGTCATACTATCATTACTTGTTGCGGTAGTGCATAGAGAAGTTGTGTCTCGCAGCGACCCAGCCGTTACGAAGCTTCTGCAGCCGGTCATGAAACCATGACGCGGCCTGCTCCAAGAGTTTCGAAGAGAAGGGCTCCTGTATGGAACCTGGTGCCAGTTGGCCTGGCATGATGGCAGCGAGATCCCAGCCCACCTGCTGGCTTGGAAGCATACTCGCGCTGTCTTACAAGTGAGTTTTCTGTCTTGCATCGATAGGTGCCGGAGCTCATGTAACGTGACTCCGGTTTTGTGGCAGATTGGCATTGCTTTCTGTCATGTTCGATGGGAAACAGGATCGAGAACGATGGGCAGACTTCCATTCTGTTACATGGTTTGCAGTCCTGCAGAAATTCAGAGAACGTCCTGAAGGCACTGGACCTGCAGAGTGTGGCGGTAGCATTGGGAAGACGATTTCCAGTGGCTTGAGAGCACTGAGGGCCATGAACGGTTTCGAGGCTTACGAACTCTTGGTTCGGATCTTCTGGTCGCCATGCTTTGGCAGGGCTAGCATTCTCGACCCAGGATAGATGGACAATATATAGATATGATGCTTGTAGACAGAAAGAAAAGAAAGAGAGACAGCGAGAGAGAGAGAGAGAGAGAGAGGGTGGGGGAACCGACCACTCATTAAAACAGCGGGTGGTCGGGCGGGCCAAAGGCCTGAGGGTCCCCAGCGGACCCCTAAGCCCGGCAGAAAGTAAGAAAAGGGGGGTGCTGTGCCCTTCCTTTGACTGTGTGGAAGAAGACAGAGAGAGAGGAGGGGAGATAGACAGATAGAGAGAGAGAGAGAGAGGGAGATAGATACATAGGTAGATAGATAGATGGATGGATGGATGGATGGATGGATTGAGAGGGAGAGAGAGAGAGAGAGAGAGATAGATAGATGGATAGTAGAGCGACAGAGAAAGTATAGATACAGACAGATATATATATATATATAGAGAGGCATACATACATATATTTGCATATAGATATGTAGATAGATTACAGATATAGATACAGACATAGAAGACATAGACAGATAGAGATCGATAGATCGAGATATAGATAGATAGGTAGGTAGGTAGGTGGGTAGGTAGGTAGGTGGGTAGATCGATTGATAGATCTATCGGTCGGTAGATAGATAGAGAGAGAGTAAGAGCGACAGGGGGAGAGATAGAGAGAGAGAGAGAGAGAGGGGATAGATATGTACTTATAAGTATGGGACCCCGGAAGCGAGCCGTCTACAACACCCTAGAAGCTTGGTCGACAGGACTTCGAGCGGGGCTGTGGCTTGGAAGTCTACGAGGTGCGAAGCTGTTGTCTTGCAGAAAAAAATGATTCCGCGAAGCTCAGCCCCAAAGCATCTTAAGATTCTCGGGCTCAAAACGGAGCCACCTGAGATTCCGGAGGTGGAGCTCAGCCTCACCTATGCTCAGAGAGATGCTACCTTCATCGAGGCATTGGAGGAGGGTCGCTGTGTCCTTCGGTGTTTTGGCCTGGAGACGTTGATTCGTCAAGTGGTTGATGTGTTTCTCTGTCAGATACCACGCCTGATGCTGTGCCCTGAGCCTTCGACGAGACTTCTCAAAGTTCTTTTCTGCAGGTTGTGGTCGATATCATCGAGCAGACGGGTGGCCTGGTGTACCTCGTGGGCGGCAGCCTAAGCCGGGCGTAAGGATTTGAAAAGGGCACAGAGTATATTATATTATATTATATTATATTATATTATATTATATTATATTTTATTATATTATATTATATTATATTATACTACAATATATTACAATGTATTATATTATATGCGAGAGTCCTGCCGAGGTCTTGTCGAAGCTCGGCAAGACTCCAAGTGCGCCTTGCTCGTTGGTTGCTGGCTTCCTCAATACGAAATTAGCAAGCATATGTCAGTGTATAGTGCATGATAAAAACCTTGGAGAGCGCCCTGAGTTTGAACGCAACCCCGATTCTCTCCAAGCCGATTCCGGCAAGACAGCTTTTCAGAATAGGGCTTTGGAGCATGTAATAGTAGAATTGTAACATAAACATGCTCCATTAGATCATGATGACTTCTACCCGACATCGTTGGACTCGGGATGCGACATGCCTCCCGAGTTCGGGACCCTCGCCTGGGGCCAGGAAAGTTCTCATCAACCCTGGCCCGAACTACAAGATCAAGCAGGTCGGTCCCTGATCACGGAGGAGCGAGTTGCTTCTGATTTCTTCGTATCATTGGTGTAAGGTGGCCGAAGGCTAACAGCCTCGGCCCCTCAGCTCCAGCCTCAGACCCTCAAACCCGAAACCCCTGAACCCAGAGCCCCAGGCCAAACCTGGCCTTCGGCCTAAGTTCCGCTTGCTCCGAAAAGGGGGGGACCAACGCAAGCAAAGCAAACCCTAAACCCCGAAAGCTTTAAACTCGACACCCCTGACTCCTCAACCTTGCAAAGAAACGCTATCGACCCCGCCCCTGCCGCTCTGTCGCCAAAAACTTCTGTAGTACACATCAAATGTGGCCTACGATACTGTATCTTGTCTAATTATATTAGATACTGCATCTTATATACTAGATGTTATATATTATGTCGTATATAAATACTAGGTTTATGTTTTTACAGAGAATATGTTAGATATTATATATTATACTTTCCGCACGAACCTTTCCGGGCAGTCACTCCCCGGCTTCAAGATCATGGGCATCTTCCTGGCCTCGGATCGCGAGGTGCCAGACAAAGCGGCCAAAATATATCGATAGTCCGGGAAGACATATAAATAAGCTATACAGATATAATATAATATACGTAGTACAATAATACAATACATTATAATATGTTATAGTATATTATAACATAATATAATACAATACAACATAACGTAGTGTAAAATAACACAAGCATATTGTAATATACTAGAACAGACTACAAGAACACGACAATCTAGTCATTAAGGTAGGCCAGACTCTGCTTCGGGATGTGTCAGAACATCTTGGATCATATTAAATGCCCGCTACACCGTGGTAAGATGCCACGGCATAGGAATCCATGTCATACTGCGCTGGACTGCATTGCAATTCGTACGAGATTTTGTTGAGCGAGGTTATGTGATGCACCAACCAACAGAACGACATCAGACAACCGTGTGCGACAGCAAGACAATATCCTAGATTGTGTTTAGCCGTGGGCTGCGACGTGCCGTGAGTTTGCCACATGTTCGGGCGCAATGTACTGCATTTCACGCGCTTATGCTTTTCCCGTGAGCTTGCATGACTGCAGCAACTTTTGCTCTGTCGCTGTCACCCTGAGTTACGTCATCGTCGAGTTTGATGAAGACGAAGATTTGCGATTTGGGGTTCAGCAGTGAGGGCTCTGACGGGCAATTGACAGCGATTGCCGATGGCAGATGCTCTTTGAGGTCCAGCCGGAAAGGTTTCTTTCTTGTCATTGTGCCGAAGATTTTGTAGCTCTACTCTGCCATGCTGAACGACGTCCTATCTCTTTCCGTAGCGTTGTGTGGAATCCTGCGTTGTATGATATCACACGGCATCATACAGCCTGCTACGGCTCCAAGGGATTCCAAGAACAACGGCTTGTGTTTTCAGCATTCCACTCGATCACCCATGCAGTGCGTTGAAGAATATCAAGCTTAAACCTCCAGTTCGCCGGTCTTGCCATCGATGTCAAATGTTGAGGCCATCATGCAGTGCGACGTGGGCATGGTGTTCCTTGGGCGTCGGGAGCGTGTGTCTCTGGACGAGGCTCCTTTCTGCCTGCGTCTGGGGTCCGTGTGATGATCGTAATCCATCCTGGGTAAGCCGTGCGCCGTACATGTGTTCGTTTGGCACAAAGGCTTTGAGAAACTGAGTCCCAATATCCAGTCCTCCTGAGCAGAACAAACCATTGAACGGAGCTGGCCGTCATGCATGCATCGATGCAAGAGCCGCAAAGTACTGGGATTAGTGTACATGCTGCTATAGTAAAATCCAGAAATGCATACATGCATGTATGCATGCAACAAAAGTGGGCGCAGAAGTCATATTGGACTCTTAAACTTTAATGGGCCTGCAGAGCCAGCATCTATGTTCATTGAATGCACGAATGCAGGGTGGCATGGACCAGGAAGAGGAGGAGGGCTTCCTGCTCAGATATTCTTGCACGGGCTGCATCCGGGGAAGCGGCTTTTGTTGGGTGGCCGGCTGAGGCACGGCGCCAAAGATCGTCCAGAAGGTGCGACGTTATACGCTGCAGTTTTCAGAGCCCCCATTAACCCTTATAGTAACCCTTGTGGTAATCCTATGTGCACCTCTAGTAACCCTTACTGCGCTTATAGTCACGCTTATAGTAACCGTTAGAGTAGCCCTGATAGTAACTAACCTTTCTAGCAACCTGTCATGGTAGCTCTTTTTAGGATGCCTTCCTTCTTTTTGCTGAAAGACGGCATGTCAGCAGGAGGAGGACATTCCAGAACTCGCGCACGTGAGTATGAAGCCCGAGCACAAGGCCTGCTATGATCCAAAGACTAGGGGTTGGGGGTACCTTATGCCAGAATTACAATGGGCTTTTTGGCACCTGGTTCTTTGATTGTCAAAGGCATAATACTAATCGGTGTCTGTCACTAATGTGCTTCCGCATGAAGCTTTTTCAACTCTGGGTAGGCCCTGTGCCCGTTTAGGTTGATTTGCACCTGGGTCCCAAACATGCCCGACAGAACCACGTGCAGTGTGGGGTGAGGCTGCTGCCATCAACCTGGCCAGAGTTTCCCGGAGGCAGAAACGGGTGAGGGTCGAGTTTCCGCCGGAAAGGTCGGTTTGTGGCTTTCTTTGATGTGGCTTCCAAGCTGCGGGCGTTGGTCGGATCTTCGTGTTGCACCAGACGACACAGAACCCGGATCCATGTTGTACTATATATTATATTACAATGTACTATAATATGTTATAATGTATTATACAATAGTATATTTCGTTTCTTATACTTGGCTTTTTGGAAGGCACCAGAGGTCACTGAAGCCGATGCGGCCTCCTCTGAAACGGCTGGCTGCCAGGGCCTTGAAGTGTACTTCAGTGACAACTCGAAATGGGAGTTTCTGAAAATTAGGGTACCTAATTTTGGGGCGCTTATAATAAGGATTCTACTATAAAGGGTACTATTTTTGGGTCCCTTATTTTCGGAAACCCCAAATGACCAAGCAAAACGGCAAAGCCACGAAGTTCGGGAAAGCGCTTACGTCTGAGAACCAGAGAGAACAAAGGAAGAAGCAGACCAGGCGAAGGCGACCAGCAAAAAGGAAAAGAACAGATTTCGGGGGTCGAGGGTAATGAGGGTAATGCTGCTACTCATGCAGGAAAAGAGCCGAATCCCCATCCATTCCTGTGCGTCCATCATCCGAGGGCACTTCTACCACTGGTCTCATCGCAGACTCCGAACACCCCGCCCAGACCCGCAGGTGTCTTTGACGGCCGTCTGGGTTTGGTAAACCCTAAACCCTAAA